CGGTCTGGATGACATGTATTGTTGCGGTGCATCATTGCGGTGCGAGTGGGGTTTTATGGAGCAAAATGCATTTGGAGAGCCCATGCTTTCCCTCATTCATGTCTCTGTTAGATTCACAGTGAATGTCTTTGATTAATGTCTCGGATTTGTCCCCACTGTTCTCCATGGCTCTGGGGTCCCAGGGACATGATTCATAGTGTTGCCAGGGCTGATGGAGGACAATAAGTTTAGGTTTCAGGTCATCTGATACTATTCCTAGTGCGCTCAGCAAGATCCAGCTGACAAGGCTTTTATACTGCTGTCTCTCTCTCTCTTAACTCTCACTACGCTCTTAGTTTACAGTGTGTGTGTGTTTGCGCGTGTGTGTGTGTGTCTGTGTGTGTGTGTTAATGAGTATTTGAATGAGCCTCTGTGCTGGTCCTCTGTTGCTATGTGCTTGCCGTATTAAAAGCGTGTGTGTGTTGGTGTAGCATAGTGTTCTCACTAATGTAGGTCAGGAGATTGCTCACTCCCTCCCTGCTCTGTGTGTGTGTGTTTAATCCTAAGGGATAAGCAGGGAGGGCTGAGGGGACCCAACTGTGAAAGATTAGGACTTGGCTTTCCCCGGGATACCACAGCAACACACTAAGTGAGTTTGTGAGTGAGTGTGTGTGTGTGTACATAAAAAACCAGCCATTGGCATCAGTGTCATTAATCCTAACTGGCTCCCTGCAGTATCAACATTCATTAAAGAATGGTGTAAGCTGCAGTCAGATTTGTTGTGAAAATACTACGGCCTCTCTCTCGCATACTATGGCTTTCTCTCTCTTTTACTCTGCTGTTCTTGAAATATAATGGCTCCGTGCCTTCGCAGTATGTACTAAATAGGGATGAGTCATAGAGGTTGCTACCGATAATCATTATCTGTCAATTTTATGGACTGAGTTGTACATTTTCTTTTTTTTTTTTAAATCCCTCTGAGACATCATCCCCTAGTGCTGGTACTGGACAGTGTTACATCAGAAAAAAAAATTAGATTTATACACTACATGAATTCATATTTAGTTGTTTTTGTTTTTGGACTGTCATTTATTTTATTTTATTTCTTTTTTTTTAGCCATTTTTGCTTTTATTGAATGGGTAAATTGGTTGGAGATAGGAAGTGATAAGAGAGGAGAGTGGGAAACAGGATCAGGATGGACCTCAAGCTGGGACTTGAATTTGCTAAATAATATTTCTAATATAATATAAATAATATTTTATATATATATATATATATATATATATACATACATATATATGTGTGTGTGTGTGTGTGTGTAATATACATTTTAATCACCTTTTTCTTTTTTCGCAGTTCACTTAAATAGTCTTGCGGTGACAAATTCATTTTTAGAATTAGGAATATTCCATGTATTTTCTCAATTAATATGTGATGAAAAACAATAGTTGCTAATTATAAAGTTGTTTCAAATATCTCTGATTTGTACACTATATTATATCTAACATCATTATTTATCTTATTTTATTTATTTATTTATTTTGGTTCTTTTGTTTTATTTTTTTGCCAACAAGGCTATATCTCTGACCTCGTAGGAATTTTTTTTTTTTTTTTTTTTACAAATAAAGTCCTGGGTTATTATAGTTCACTAAGACAAAAACCAAAAAAACTGAAAAGAAATTCAGCTTGTCATTAAGGAAACAGTTTTCATTTTCATTTAGTTTATCTTGATGTACTAAAATAAGTTCTAAAACTGAAATAAACATGAATAAAAAATATATAGACATTTTTAAAAATGTAATACAAATGACAAAAACACAACAAAATTTCAAAAACAACAAAAACAGAAAATCTAAAAATAAAGACTTGCATAGAAACAAAGCGCAATATTGAATTAAAATAACTGACTTCTCAATCGCTGATGAAGTGCGGTCTCCAAGAATGCAGATGTGTAGCATCAGTACATTCTTGGAAATACTACATGTGCCATGGTGGCATTGTCCTTTTATCTGTATTTTCTTAATAATAACAGTAACAGTAATTACAACAACCATAAATTGTACTGAGGTGTTTAAACAAGTAAATAATTAAGTATAATTTAACTACAGGGAATTTTCTTGATACCTGTAGTAATTAAACAAGAAAACAGCTGCCCAACCCATAGTTCTCTCCATGTCTTCCCCCCACACCCCAGTTTTCATATCTTATTCATACTCATTTGATGTTCTGAATTCTGCACACTGTGTAGTTGGGAAGTATGCATATTCAGATGCAGAGAGTGTTTTTGGGTGTGCTTTGATTCATGTGAAGCATATATCATATGCTCTTGCGTGTAGAGATTAAATCGAGATGTAGATCGTACATCAAACTGGGAACAATGAACCACTGATTACCATTTAAATCATTTTTCAAATATAATCCCATCATAAAGGGTTTATTTCACTGCAAGCATTCAAGGACCTGGAAGAGACCAGTTCAAACCTCTAGAATTGCCTTTAGAGTAAGTTATAATACCATCTGGATAATATTGTCATCTACCATGCATGATTACATAAATCATTAATTAAAATGATTATGATAATTGGGTTATTAACATGCTTGATTACCCTTGTCTGATGCAAATTATGGTAAAAGAAAAAGACTTAGAAGAGAGGTTGGGGGTGGTACAAAGAGAGATGAAATGATATATGAGCCAAAGGGAAGGAATGGGCGAGTAACGGATGGGGGGATGAAATGTAAAAAAGAAAAAGAAAAAAAGAGGCAGGAAACACTGATTGAGAGAGTGCTGAGAATAAACACCCTGCTCAATATCTATAGCTGTCAATCAATAGTGCTCAGCTGTTGCGTAATCTTTCTACACTACTTTGACTTAGCAAACAGAGAGGACATGTTTCTGCTGTTTGTAGTCAGCTGAGGGCTGTTGTGTCGGCTTTAAGTGATGATGACCATTGTGAACCTAAACATAACCTTTGAACATAAAAAACAATCAGTATTGTATGGTTTCTTATTGTGTCTGTCTAATTTTAAAACATTGTCTGAGGATGTGAAGCTTGACAGACACACTATAGAGATATAGTAATTGTATGAGATGGTAATACCATGGTACTTTGGTATAAATATCATGGTTCTGAATGATTACCATATTCGTACAGTATACTAAGGTATTTCCCTGGTTCTTCATGATACAAATTTCAACATAGTATTGCCATGTCAACACAAGCATAGTGTTCCCATGGTGTATGTGCAAAACACCACGGTGTAATGATGGTATCACATGGGAATACCATGGTACTTGCATATATACCATGGTACATTAATTTTAGTCTCATGGTTTTATCATCTGATACCTGGTACTCCAAGGTACGTCTAAGAACTGCTTCTACATGTCCAAAAGATATGGTTATACTATGGTACTTTCTGGTTTGTTTGTTTGTTTTTGTTTTTTTTGTAAATGTAGTAGTATTCTAATACTACAAAATATTACCATGGGGCCATGTCAATGATACTAGCATTGTACATATCCATAACACCATAGTGATACTACGGTACATTTTGTTACCTTTGTGTAAGTGTTCCATACACATGAAAAGTAAGCCATTATACAGACCGGCTTAAAGGGTGGGTACCCCTTACCTCAGAATTCGCCTGCTCTTTTATAGCACTGCGACACTTGTTAAATCATCAGGGCCTGTTTATCATGCAAAACCACCCTCCCACCAGTGCTGGACAACAGACGCAGCTGAATGGGTTCAATCAATAGAGCTCAGGGAGAAATGTCTAACAAGCCATAACACTGCACAGCATCACTGTTTCGTCACGTGTCTCCCCATACACTCTGGAGTAGGAGGGAGAGGAAAATGAGACACTGGCTTCCTGCTTTGATGGAGAGCTTTTAAAGTCAACGTCAAATCGAAATAGACAGTTGTACCTTCCTAATACACGTATGCACAATTCATTAGTGCAGTGGTTCTCAATTCCAGTCTTCGTGTACCACCGCTCTGCACATTTTGTATCTCTTATCACTTCAGATGTTTGTTCTATTCGACCAAAAGGGCCTTGGAAAGTGGGCATCACAGGATATTCCGCCATGATTCCAGTTCGAAGGGAGCGTATATGTTACATTCAGAGGGCATTAAAGTGTGCGAGATGTGAATTTAAATTGTATTTATTTACAGATGTATATTATGTCACACTTCACACTTCTCTAACAAGTTTCGTCTGTGTGTGAAGATGCTGCAGGCAGTGGCATAGCGCAAATCTGTGAATGAATGTTCCGAAGTAAAGTAAACCACCACGGATTTCCCGTGCTCAGAGATTAGGGAGCAATGAACACTGTGTAGGGACCATGTCAATCGGAACACAGTACATGCATGGAGCTCTCTTCTAACGAGCTGGTTAACTGAATCAGGTGTGTTAAATAAGAGAGACATGCAAAATATGCAGAGCGGTGGTACGCGAGGACCGGAACTGAGAGAACCACTGCCTTAGTGCATGTTATTCCAAAGAAAAAAACATTTGTGTTTGTAATCTTTTATAGATGTGACTTGCTCTGTTTCCATTGTTTCTTTTTGTTTGGTGTTACTTAAGCCTTGTGTGCTGAAGTACTTTGTCCATTCAAGTCTAGCTTCATTATGCCATAGAAACACACTTTGTTTTCACATTGTAGTAGATAAGCCTCCAGTCTAATTTGTGATTGTGTGTTGCATGAGGGTGAATGTGTTACTGGCTTCAAATAAGTCCTGAGTGCAGAGTGCCGGTTCATTATTAATGATGCTCACAATGTGTGTTCCATCTCGCCCTACAGGGGGTCCACTTACATATTCCAAGCACACACAAACTATGAGTGCTATCCACTGACACTGATGCCCAATCACATGTACAGTGATATTTTACAAAGCTATTGAATGCACTGAACTAGCCTTTCACTTTGAAGTGTCTTGTCAGAGTTTATATGACTTCTTTCCATTGAGCCGTTTCCAAAACAGAAATAACCTTAATGACGCATGTGTTTATTTTTCAGGTTCTTCCTGCAGTCCTGGAGACTCACTCTCAGAGGGAAATGATTCCACATGAATTGCATGGACCGCTCTCCCACAGCAGGTGTGACTTCCATTGCTTAAGACTGAAATCTGTGTCCATCCGACCTTAGGCACAGAATACATCCCCTCACACCACCACTCTCCTCTCTAACCCATCCCCATCCTTGCTTCGAGCCAGTCAGTGGGACGGCACACTCTGTTAGCAATACAAACAGAGACCAAGAGGGAGAGGAAAAGAGCCAAAAAAGACAGGGAAGAAACATCCAGAAAGAGTGGTACAAGATTCTCAGACACAATGAAGTCAAACCAGGAGCGTAGCAATGAATGCCTGCCCCCAAAGAAGCGTGAAATCCCAGCAAGCACTCTGCCCTCAGAGGTGAGGCCCGTGGTGATGGCGCCTGCCAATGAGAGCCAGCGTTCAGGGAACCTGGCCTGGCTTGCCAGTCTGGCAAGCGGACATGACAGAGGGCGGCAGCACACCAGCACCTCCTCAGAGCCCGATGGGCCTCAGTACAAACCATTGTTAGCCACAGCTGAGAGCACACATCCCTCGTCCACGCACTTAACCAGATCTCCCACTGCAGTGACCACCATACCTGCAGTGTACACGTCACCCCTCTCTCAGCATGCTGGCACCATCCAGTACACACCCCTGGCTCCTAATCTTCACTTCATCAGCTCTCCGTACCCTGCACCATATGCTGGCTACATCTCACCTCTAGTTCCCCCTTTGGCTGCCACCAGTACCATACAACGTGAGGCTTATTCCAGCATCTACAGTTCTCCTGCATCCAAAATTGACCAGCACCACCAATTGGGCCGTCCTACAGGGCTGGTCACAACTGACAACACCTCTTTGCCCCACTCCACCCAATACATCCAAATTGCTGGTTCTCCTCTAAGCGTATCTCCTCGGACTGCTCCGTCCCCCCATGTTCACTTGCCTCTACACTTACACTCTCACCACACGCTCCCCATCAGTGGCCACTCGCCAGTCTTAGTTCAGTACACAGATGGACCTTTACCCAAGAGGGAGGAGACAAGGCCCAGGGAGGTGCTGAATGGAGAGCTAGAGAAGGACAGACGCTTTGGTCCATCTCCCGAATCTAGTGCAGGGAAGCAGGGCAGCACTGCCAAAGGGGGTTCCTCTACTCAACAGCACCAGATCCACCAGCAGCAGAGCCCACGTCACTATGAGGCTCGGCATGTGGTGCTCCCTGCCGATTATGCGCAGGACAGCGCAACCATGCGGACCTCGTTGGTGCTGGTACCCAACAGTCATAGCTCCGGTGGTACACCTGACAAGCTGCCTCCCCTAACATCCCACTCTGAGAAAGGAGGGATTTGCGCAGGCAAACCTGTGTCCCGTAGTTCCTCCTCCTCAGCCTCCCTCCCATTTCCTCCTCCCCCTCCACCTGTGGACAGTTTGAAGGGGGTGGCTACCACACTGTCTCCTCATGCAGTCATCCAGACCACACATAACACCACAGAGTCACTCTCCCTGGGCCTCCCCTCCACCAATTTCTACTCTGCCCAACAGCCCATCATTGGTTACATTGCCGGCACAGGGCACCAGCAACCTCTCAGCTATCACACCAGCCTACCCCAGCACCTGGTCATCCCTGGAACTCAACCGGTCATCATCCCAGTGAGTGGAACTGAAGCTACTGCTACATCGACCACACCACTCTTGCCTGCGGCACTACCCCATACTTTCGTCACCTCAACGGCCCCAAAAGTAGAGACTTTTGAGGCTACAGCCCCATACCCTCACCCTGCCGCAGATGTGGTTCAAGCCCAGTTGCATCTGCCTGTGGTTCCGGCCCCTGCTGGTCTGCTGACAACTCCACCGCCACCCTCAGCCCCTTCACTGCCCCCTTACTTCACCAAGGGCTCCATCATCCAGTTGGCAGATGGGGAATTGAAGCGGGTGGAGGACCTGAAGACAGAGGATTTCATTCAGAGTGCTGAGATCAGCAATGAGCTGAAGATTGACTCCAGCACTGTAGAGCGCATCGACAGCAGTCATACACCTAACTTTGCTATTATACAGTTTGCTGTAGGAGAGCATCACTCACAGGTGGGATAATATATTCTTGCTTCACTCTTGATGTAGAATGTTTAATGAAATTTCTTGTACAGTGCTGGTTGTTTCACGCCACTTGTAGTATGAGTATTTCAATGGTTTGTCTAATTTTCATAAGTATGTATATACTGCATAATTTTTTAGTGTTTATTATTGGCTATACAGTACATATTTTAAGGTTATCATTTACATTAGAATACCAGTTACAGTCAGTTAAATCCTGCTATCTAAAGAGGATTACAGTGGAAATAACTTGGCAAATTTTGTCCCTCAAAGGTAGTTTGATAATATGCAAATGTAATCCAAAGATGACTAATTTAATTTCATATTTAACAATGCTCATTGGCAAAAAAATCTTTGTGCCTTTTACAAATGCCCAGGGATCTTTCTTTACTTTGTTACATCTTTCATGCATTTTTATCATCAGTTTGAATAACCATATGGTAGTCATTATATATATTTTAAAAGCTGTGAGGGTGTGAATGTCCTCCTATATGAACTCCACCTGCACTCAATCAGTGTAACTAGTACTAGATGTGGGGTAAATTGGCAGCTGAAATAATCTCCCTGTTCCATAATCCCTCCCCTGGCTGTCCCTATGGCATCTTTGTTTAGTTTGTGTGGGATTCACTGGCAGAATTGAGTCATTCCTTATTTCTGCTTCCTTCTGTTGTACTGTGAGTGGGCTGTATGAAAAATCTGCTTCATTTGTCTGGGATTTGAGATGGGGCCACCCACTTGAAAGCAGTTCTAAAGTCTGTCATTTTGAGAGGCGCTGATTAACAGATGCTATTTAGCAAAGGCATTCATTCATATCATCAGGCATTTGTGCATGACTTCTACTGTATGTATTTAATGTCCTCTCTTTTTGCCTTCCTTTTTCTCTCACAGGTCAGCGTGGAGGTGCTAGTAGAGTATCCTTTCTTCGTGTTCGGCCAGGGCTGGTCATCATGTTGTCCAGAACGGACAACACAGCTGCTCGAGTTGCCATGCACCAAGCTTTCAGTAGGTGACGTCTGCATCTCCCTCACCCTGAAGAACCTGAGGAATGGCTCCATCAAGAAGAGCCAGGGGCAAGTCTTGGATGCGCCTACCCTCGGTCCACCCCTTAAATCACCCAAAGCACTCTCAAGCGGCGTGCGAGGGGGTGTTCGGCACACAGAAAAGGAAAATGGACTTGGGCAGTGTGGAGATCAGGGAGGAGGAGGCGGTCAAGGCAATAGAGAGAATGGAGAACTGAGGTTTGGCGAAAGAGACATCTGCAAAGCACCACCGGTCACTGAATCAGAGTCTGGCAGCAAACCCACAGGCCGCAAAAGGAGGTGGTCGGCCCCTGAGGGCCGCAAAGTGGAAAATCCTGAAGGAGAGCCTCCTTTAACGTTCCCCAAGCCTTCCTTCATCCCTCAGGAGGTTAAAATCAGTATCGAAGGCAGATCAAATATTGGAAAGTGAATGCGCATTGGACTGTCATATTGTAAAAGCAAAATTTGCCCTCAGAATGTTTTAGGTTCTTTTTTTCTTTTTTAATTTGAGTTCTGATTTCATTTTCTATCCAGATTACATTATCTAAAGGCTAAATTACTCAGTATGTACATTATCACTTCTAACATTGTAATAGATGCATTCAATATTACACAGGCAACTGGTGCAATTCATTTGATTGGTCAAATTCAGGGTGGATGTAGTTCAAGGTGGGAAGGTCGTGAGATACCTGAGCACTGCATGATATCCTGAAGGCTTCAGTATACACAATCAGTCACAGCTAACAAGGCTAAGACGTCTCGCTAGTCTCTCACCTACAACATCCTCTACTTTTTTTTTAGCACAGACAAACCTGGTTTATCTACACCTAGTGGCAATTAAAACATTCACCTGCTGAGTGAACCTGAAAATGTTAGTAAGGGAAGATGAACAACTGGTGTGAATAACATTGCTAATGGTGGCAGAATGGAAATCACTCCTCCACTGGTTGCAGGAGTTTACATGATGTCAGCCATCTTGTTTAACTGTGACTAAAAAAAACTAAAACTCCAAATCAGTGCTAACAATGTAAAGCAGTATCGTCAGCTCAGTTAGACTAGCTTAGATTATATTAACATTTATTGAAATGCAAGAAGAGGTTTCCAAATACTAAGGTACAGGCCAAGAGAGATGATGTCATTGAGCAATGCCATTTGCTCCTCAGAAAGATGAAACTATCATTTAAAACAGGGAAGATGGACAAGTCTATTTTTATATATACAACTGTAACCTTTTATTTTATTATTTTTGTAGTTTTGCATGTTTTAATTTTCCGTCTCATTTTTCAAACCCTGCTATCATACATGATGGGTAGTTTTATTTAAAAAAAAAATTTTTTTCTGTGATGAATGTGTAAACCTTGCAATCAGGGGTAATTTTTTTACATAGATGGGTTCTTGTCTATATATATATATATATATATATATATATATGCATGGATGTATCTTGATGCATACAAACACAGTGGGTGAGGACATTGACCAGTCCCTTGTTTTTAGTACAGTCTCACCTGTTTTTTTGTTCAAACAAGAGAAAGTAGTTTTTTTCAAAAGAAAGAGAGCGAAAGTTGTCTGAGAAGGATGAGATGAGTGTTGTCCTGAAGCACTTACCTAACACACCTGTCATGCTCACTAGCTGATAGTAGTTTCAATCAAATGAGTCAAATTATTATTATTATATAAATTATTACTATCATTTATTATTATTATTATTGATACTACTATTTTCAACACAATACTGTATGCTGTATCATGAATTGGATGTTGTATGTCACTCTGGTATGGTGATGGCTCACAAGGGTCACTGTGAAGGGATGAATGTAACAAGTGATAAAAGAAAACAATGAGATCTAAAAGGACTGCTTTAAAGGAAGCACTTGTTTCATTGTGTATGATTGGCTTAGCCTTCTCAAGCAATCTGACAGCTTGAGTAAAGACGGGCACAAGAGGCCATGGCCCGGAAACAACTGCCATTTAAGTTATTTAAAGCAAAAAGAGTTGTATGAAAGTGGGAATGCAGGTGGAATTCAGTACAGAGACTGTTTATGTATTTACGAGAGATATGAGAGACAAAGTGAAAGTGAGAAACTCTGGCTACAGAAATCTTCGGAGGATCGAAGGGTGTCATATACCTGTTTGTTAGCGATGTATGTGGTCGTGCACGCATGCGAGTCCGTGTGCTTTTGCGCACGGGCTTAAACACACATAAACACGTACACGGTTACGGTAATTTCAATCATGTTGAATTATGTCATGTATTTGTTGTACATTAACATGTATAGAACTGCATATGCTATATCTATCTTACTGTATGAGAGCGCAAGACTACATGAGCACGTTTTTAGTCCCGTCCCCCAAGACGCTGACTCATCGAACGTATGTGAAAGCAGTCATGTAGTAATTTCAGTGATCTGTAGTATATTTGTGAGCGTGCGTGCATGAGTGTGTGTTTGTGTGCGTGCAAGTGTATATGTGTGTGTGTGTGTGTACATACCACACATATTATAAATAGATATTTAAGTTCTACTTAAAAGAATATTGCAATTTGCACATTTGGAGAGAAAGTAACATGATTTATTTTGTTTTCTGCCAGCACAGGACAGGGCCGAAAACCACATTTTTACTGAAATGTAGCAGTTTCTTGACAAGTTTGCTTGGTTAGCAGCTCAGTTGGGTTCATTTTCATTAGGAAAACCAAGAAGCCCCTTTTCAGGGGGTTTGAATCACACACAAACACATAGAAGTAGGATTGTGCATTGTGCTGCGTTAAGGTGTTCGCTTCATACGGGTGGATGAAGTCATAGCCTGTAGCCTGCATAGTTGTTAAGTCCTTTCAGTGGCCACCCTCAAGTTAGCTTGGGTAGGTGAAGATCTGGCAGGAGGATGGGTGGTAGTACAGAATAAAAGATGCATGGATGGATTTAATGAGTGGTGGAGGGTTGGTGGGTGAGTGCACCCCATATACAATTTGAAAATGCTTTATTTTTTTTAAATAATAAAACAGGGTTTCTCAGATCAACACCACAACCGTGCATTTTTTTTGACATGACATTTTCCATCTGTCCCCTCAAAGTGTGCATGTTTGAGTTTTACTTGTGTGGATGTATCTGCTTTAACCAATCAAACTTGATATTTTCATTGTGTTCAACATTTATATTGGGCCAAAAGGTAGAAATAATATGTGATATTGTTTGTCCATTGAACCACCCCAACAACACAACTGTCAATGGCGAATCAGTCTCGTATTTGTTTTGTTTCTCTGAGCTTTCGCTGCTGTCCTTCTCTTCATGTAATGATCAGTATTTTTGATGTCTTTGATGTCGCTCATTGCTTCGATCATTTTACAGTCTGCCTCCTTCTGGTTGCACAGTGCGGTTCCACGTACACACGAGAAGCATTCCGAACAACGGCACGTAGCAATAACACTTAGTCTCTAGTGCTGAACCAAAAAAATAAAAATACAGAACCGGACATCAACGCCAGACCTTCTGTTCGACCTCAGCAAGCTGTTTTTATCCTCTTTAGGTTGATTTGCGGTTTGCACAGCCAGCCCTCAGTAACTTCAGGGAAAAATGTAAATTCATATGCAGTGACAGAGTCTGTCCCCTCCTAGCCGTCTTAACCCGTAATCGATAGTGACCTCCAGATGCTCTTCAGGTGCCCATACAGAACCAGTATGCCTCTCTCAGAGTATGTTTACCCAACCGCAACCGTTAGCTACCTTCTTTTGCCTGGCATGTACGTGCGACCGCTTTCTCACCCGGCACACCCGCTGTAGTTCAAGAACGTTGTTTTCTTTTCTCTCTTTTTATCTGTCTTTCTCTCTTATTCATAGCCATAGAACCTCGACAGTATTTGTGATGGAGTTTCATATTGCCTAGCTTGAAATTAAATTACCGTAGTTTTTTGGGTTTTAAGGGGGGTTTTAATTATAACTGTTGACTCATTCATTTTTTATCACCTATGATATCTATTAAAGTCAATGTAAATTGACATTTCAACCCATTTTACTGCCATAATGTGATGTATTTCAGTTGAAACGGATATTCAATCAAGAAAAGTGGGCTTTACATACCAGAATGCAGTCTGACTACTAAAATAATACCTAAATACCTAATTGAGTAATATTCAACCCATAGACTGTTTAGCCTAAGTGATGTCAAGAAAAGTAAAGTTTGTGTTCTTTACGATGTTTTACAAACATTGGAGTATCATGCACCAATGAATCGCTCACAATAAGACCTAGAATGAGCATTGAGGAAGTAAATAGGGTCGATATTGATTCACCTTGACTTGAAGTGTCACTTGTTATGTACCAGGAGACAAGCAAGTTTAAATGTTCAATTCCAGGGAAGGTTTTTTTTTTTTTTTTTGCATTTGGACTTGAAGACGTTCTGACATTAATCTGAGCGTCCATGTCACTGATTGCTTCTCAAATATTGAGGAATAAGTCCAACTGCAGATGAGTTAAACATGCTTTCATGTGCAATGACCTGAATGAATGAAACATCACAGATGTTCTGTGCCGTCACATTGGACGGTCATCACAAACAAAGAGAATAAAAGATGCACATGGTACAGCTGGTGGTTTATTGTGCTGATGATAGTCTCTTTTGACCTCCAGTGCTGAGAGACGAGAAAAATAAGAGAACAGTAAAAGTGGCGGCCACTGTTTTGACACCTCTTTTTTTAGCATCAATGTCATTTAAAAACTTAAACCCCACTGATGATGTTCTAAACTCTTCTTCTGTTTAAGTATGACATGTTACACTCGTAACAGTTCGTGCCATCTGTATGTAGCACTGTTTCTGTGGTTTCCATTCATATACCTTCTCGCTTAAATTGTATTGTTTGTTTAAAACCATCTGTAGCCTGTGGGTTTTATGATTTTATTTTGCTGTTTGTGAGTAAATATGGCAAATATTGTGTTTTCACTTTGTAGTGAACCCCTGATCTATAATTTTTGCACATTTTTGCCCTCACACATGCAAGATACTGAAAAAAGACAGAAATGATTCATTGACCTCATCAAAGTGGGGACCACTTTTATAGAAACAAACAAAAACAAAATGCACATTTTTTTTGTCATTTATAGAATAGATAGACTTGTTAATACTGTTTCAGCACTTTCTAATCCCAAGGAAGATAGGGTGAGAGTTTGGTGTCATCGCAGTTTCTCCTTCTCCAATACGAATTCCCTCTGTCTCGGCCTGTTCCTGGGTCCAACGGGCTGAGACGACGAGGACAGAGAGTTTAAATAAAGTTGGAATGGTCCTCTATGAACCTGAGATGACTTTACTTTTTGTTGTACTGATGTGTGCTCGAACACCGTCGTTCGGTTTTATTTGTTTTATTTTCATGTTGGTTCTATATTTGACCTTGCTTCATGTACTTTGGACTTTGTACTTTTGCTTCAGTCTCCTCTGTAGCACTCTTTTATCATGGTTGGAGACGAGAGAAAGTGTTTTAATGAATGTTTTTAAGAGTTTTCGAGCGGCTCTGTGACAGCTCTCTCTCTCATAAGAGGAGCACCGCTGGCAATTTCCTTGTTTTTACTTTCATTTCTGGCACAAATGACAAAAAAGACGAATGTTGGATTGTGAGTTTCAGCCGTTTGAAAAATAAATCAAAAGATTTTCTTTTCTTTTATCGTGGCTCATTGAAAAAAAAAACGTATTTTTAGCTTGCTTTTCTTTGAAATCAGTTGTAAAATCAGTCAGGACTTCTCTGTTCAACTTGACTGTTGTTTGACATCTTGTCAATTGTCCAAACCGCTGGATTAATAACCTCAGGCTGAGAATCTTCTACAGGCCCACATTATGGTTTTGTTTCACCCTAACTAACTGATGTATGGGCTGCTTGATATGGGTATTGTAACTAGTCTTATTGTTAATTCTATAGTTGATATATGAGCATTTAGCTATATCAGTGCTGGATAGTGAAAACAGTGCACACTCCTTAAAAAAGGAGGCCGGCCCTCGTCTCTTACATCGTTTTGGTGAGCTGGTAAACTGACAAACGCTTCCTCGGAGAGAGAGGTACATCCTGTGTTCTGTCACCCTCATCCAGCTGGGCGCAGGAAAGAGACTCGTGCAACCATCCTCTGATGAATCCTGAGGAGTATTTGTCACTGTTGGGTTGAACTGGACACTCAACCCTGGTTAACCTCTGAGAACTAAACGCCAGGGATGTACTGACCATCACAGGCCTGAACCGACTTGTGTACAGATGCTGTTTTCACATCCCCGATGTCACCTTCACGCATAGCAATCGACAGCCTCGTAACGTGTGTATTTATCCTTCAGAATTTGTACAACTACAATCTCAAGATAACATATCTTCAAGAAAAAAGGTCATTTTGTAATTCTGGATTTCTTGCCAATGAATGCTTAATAAGATGTCTCGGTAAAATTGTACGCTGTCAAATCTTTTTAGGCCTAATTTTAAATTGTCAGTCATTTCCAAGTATGTTTTGTGTAAATTGGATTCGGAATGAACAGTGAAGGGAGTTTCTCAGCACTCTGAATAATCGCCTCGAGATTTTAAAGCTGAGGTCAGATACACAAACTATTAGCCGGAGGTGAATAACACTATGTACTCCTTGTCAGGTGAACGGCGTTTGGTTATTATTAAATGTGCACGCATGTCCAGCCACCTTTTTTTTTTTCCCCTTTTGAGAATGAAATGTTAAAGGAACACTCCACTATTCTTGAAAATAGGCTCATTTTCCAACTCCCCTGGAGTAAAACAGTTGAGTTTTACTGTTTTCGAATCCATTGAGCTAATCTCCGGGTCTGGCGGTAGCACTTTTAGCTTAGCTTAGCATAGATCATTGAATCTGATTAGACCGTTAACACACAGTCTTAGTACACGATGTAACTACAGAAGAGTCAAGTTTTAAATAGGAAAAATATAGAAACTCTTTGGTCATTTTTGAGCGAGATGCTAACGGTCTAATCAGATTCAATGATCTATGCTAAGCTACAGCTAAAAGTGCTACTGCCAGACCCGGAGATCGGCTGAATGGATTTGAAAACGGTAAAACTCAACTGTTTAACTCTAGAGGAGTTGGAAAATGAGCCTATTTTCAAAAATAGGGGAGTGTTCCTTTAAGATGTATTTTGTGATATACAGGAAGTCATTGGTCATTCCTCAGGAAGAAGTGGGTTAAGATATAGCAGTAATACCCCAGGCTTGCTGGATTAGAGGTGTTACAGGTCTTGTCATAAAGAGATTATAAGTCTTCCATTGGAAGGGAAATGGAAGCTGTTTCTAGTTTCTTTGTTCACTTGCCATTGGGCAGAAAGATCCATGATCATAAAACCTCCGGATTGGACCTTTACCTACTGTTTGACTCGGTAGAGGCAGGTTGCCATATTGTCAGTGTTGTTGTTTTCTCCATAGCTTCAGTGCTGTGGATTTACTGGACCTATAGTATGTAAGACACCATGCAGAAATGTTTAGCAAGACTCTTAAAGAAAAATTGAATGTTGCATCCAGTCCTGAGGTTCTGTTTTCTTGGAATTGTATCAGAGGAGTCTGGCCAGTAGCAAGAGATGGTTGTTGGGAGAGGAAGTAGTGTTTTGCACCTTATTTAGAATGGAAACTAGATATAAAAAATATAAATCCCTAGGTAGGAAATCATTGTGAAAGGCCATTTTTTTTCTTTTGGTTCATTTTATTTCCATATGCGTGCATACTCTGTAAGTTGTGCAAAAATATTGTACTTGCACTAGCTTTTTTTAAAAAGAAAACGAATATAAAAAAATTTGAATTGAAATTCTATTTTCTAATTGTGGTGTGTCTATTTGTAGGATACACTCACGTTGTTTCTTGGATTTTTTTGGTCCCTTTCTTTGATGGTGCTTGCCGGTTTTCTAGTTAGAACTTATTTCATTATTCTGAACAACAAAACAATATTTGATTCAGGTTGTGAACAAATTTGTTTAAAAAAGAAACTGTCTGTATACCAGTACAAGTTTATTGTTGCAGTATACACGTACTAATAAAAATTACAGTGCCAATTGCAAACTGCACCCTTTTTGGAGTTTGTGATTTGTGAGAATGGGATTTCAAAGGTCAGATACAGTGGGCATATTTCAAAGACAGACATGAAGCTATACTCGCAAGCAATTGCACACAGAGGTATTCCACAGGCTTCTTTGGCTCCAGTGCACCTAGTCAATGGAGTGTGGGTGTTGGCGGAGGTGGCGGCTTTGAGTATTCCCTTCTGTTCCGGGCTGGATCATTCATTTGAAAAAGTGTAGATGGAAGACATTGAGATCTTATCAGACACCATCAAACCCACACTTGGCTGTGGGAAACAGTTATGACCGATACAATAAGCCAGACTGATTCAGCGCTGTCTGCTTGTCTGTACTTGTGTTTACCATTTAGTTTTAACCACAGTATAGTAGTTTAAAAAGAAGGTAAGTTGAGTATAAAAGTCTGAATATACACATTTAATGAAAATATGAATTACACTATCATGTTTGAGCCAATGGGATTCGCTTGGGTTCCTAATAAAGTGCAACAGTCGAGTTCCGGGAGTAAAAATCCAATTCCTTTTTAACAATTTATAAACCATTAAAGACAGACCTACTGTGAGCTATGAGGTGGTTAATCGATATTATATGTTTTTGTGGATGTATGGTCACCCTACTTTTATTCAAGCTATCAGCCTGTATTATTTCAATTTATTATTTTTTAATAATTAAAAAAAAAAAAAACTTTAGTCCCCACCCACTCCCATGAAGCAATGTAAATCAGTCTCCCTATGCTCTCAAACTAAAATATTTGTATGAATAATATGCATATTTTACAATAAACAAAGTGTTGTTTCTGTATAATCAACATCTTTAAATCAATAGTTTATATTTATCTTTTTTTTTTATTATTGCATTTGCAATGCTTCGTGTGATTGTATTTCTTTCCCCTCAGTAAAACCGTTCTCAGTCTTGTACCTTTGCCTTTTTATCTGATTTTCAAGTACTTTTTTACTTCAAATCAAAGTTTGTAATGTTGTGATTGACCTCATAGCTGGTTGGTTTGGTTCATGTTTTATAACTCTTTAACAAAGAGTTTTTCAAAAATCCTTATGTGAAAAATTAATGGTAAAAATACTTTTGGAACCAAGCCCATTATCTCTCGTTTCATACAAACTCAATTGGTGCCATCTCGCTTTTCAGTTATCAACTGTAGTAAAATAGCCTATTACCTGAGAGGACATCAGTATTTCTATTACCGTAGTGTATAGGCTGATTGTTTTGTTTGTTGTAATGGACAAATTTTCCTTAGCATATTATAGTTCCATACACAGTCAGCCAGTCATTATTGCAAAATAATGATGATAATAAAGCAATTTAAGGCATAAAAAAAACACATTTCTTGTTCAGATGTTTATTCCTCCATATGTAATGTTTTACTCGTAATACATTTAATAAAGTATTTTCTATCTCATCTAAACTGCACAAGGCATGTTGAAGAAATTAGGTGCAGCAGTTTTCACATTCCTCTGGTCTGATATGACATCCCACCACACCCTCTGTACAATCACAAAGGAAGCAAGCCAGCAGAAATTGTCCACAACAGTACACATTGCACCACTCGCTGCTCAAATCAACTCAAAGTTACAACACGCAGGGACTAGATCTTAATGTGGCAGAGAATTTTCTCTGCTGGTGTGTAAATTCTCCACTAACATGCATTTCTTTCTCTCAAGCTCTCAAACCGTCATGCTGATTGTTACACTCTAGGAAGACAATGGGTTGCATAGTTACAAAGAATGAATTCGCCTCGGAATTATCCTGTCAAGAGACTTGATGTTTTCTTATTCACCCTCTGTCTCGTACAGATGCAGACCCACTACATACTTTAGAGAACTTGAAATGAATAAAACTGAGCATGCTGCAACATAATTGGTTTTCCAAGGCAATGTGTTGGGGTTCAGCAAGGTTCCTGAGCAAAACAGTATCTATGGGTCTGTCTGTATGAGTGTAAGAGTTACATAATGAATCAGATACTGTAGATTCATGAATCTAAAGAGCACAGAAAACTTGAAGACAGAGGGAAATATGTTTATGAATGTGTCTGCCATTTAAAGGTACAGTGCGTCCAAATTCACAGAACAGTAACAGAATTATCATTTTCAGCTCAACTATTCCTTAACTGGTGAATCTGCATTTGTGAGTGTATGTTTTTAGTGTGCATGACTAAGTGAACATTTGGCTAGACTGCTGTGTGACTCTGATGAAGGTCGTCCTGCGGCTCAGTTCTTTGAGTTTGGCAGCTCCTACATATGTGCAGGTGGACCGCAAGCCGCCCAAGATGTCCCTGATGGTGTTTTCCACGTCACCTTTGTAGGGCACCTGGACCGTCCTGCCCTCCGATGCCCTGAAATCACATAAACAGACCTACATAAGATGCCCTGCAGTATCACAGTTATTTTTGTAGCAAATGCACTTAAATCCCAATATGTATAGCCTTAAATATGCCCTATACATGTATGAAAACATCCTCACCTGTACTCTGCTACCCCTCCGACATACTTCTTCATGGCAGTGTCTGAACTCATCCCATAAAACAGCTTGAACTTTTTGCCATCTTTTTCAATGAGTTCACCAGCACATTGATCATGTCCTGCTAACATTCCTCCTAACATGACAAAATCTGCCCCAGCACCTAACGTAAAATTCATTATTAGATACATTAATACTTTATACCTAGTTAGACAACAATACATATAATAGCATTTTTTAAATGGTACAAGAACAGTAAAATTATATATCATTAGAGATGTTGGAAACATAAAAAAAAATAAAAAATGAATTCACCAAAAGCTTTAGCAACATCTCCAGGGCAACTGCAGCCTCCGTCCTAGAAGACAAAAAAAAAAAAGCTTTACTACAAACTCCTATAGTTACATAAAGTCATATAAAATACAGCACAGTTGCAAAGCATTCCTATAGCTCATATGGTAAAGTATGGTGATAGCGATGCATACTGTAGGTCATGGATTCAAATCCCAGAAAATGCATGAGCTGATAGAAATGTGAAAACAAAACAACAAAAACTGTTAAACTTGTTAAAGACAAGTTAATTGGTTTTCAGTTATAAATAAATTCACTGTTATGTCTTTCTCCAAGATTGCTCCCAGAACTGTTAATGACAAACTTGTGAATGACAAACAAGTTCAGTTGTCACATTAAAGAAATACACTATTGGAGACTGTTTTGTTTAAAACAAAAAAAAAAAAGGGATGACGTATTTTTGTATGCCAAATCCCAGAAATGACTAAGCATTTTAGCACTTCCGGTTCCATCGCTCCAAAATCAAAGCTTACTGTTGGTTTTTATTACTTCAGTCTTTTTATTTCTAGAGATTGTATTTAGGCTTCAAAATGAATAAGTTGTGTTCATTTGTGAAGATTATTATGATGAACAAAACATAAACTTTTCATAAACTTTTGTTGGTCACAGAAATTAGTTTTTGCAAAAATTAAAAAGCCACTGGAAAAATTCTATTTGGTTTTGTCGAGGGAACCAGGGTGATACTAATTTACAGGCTAGCCTATGAAAACACGTCATCGCTGCAACACTATTCTAACAAAAAAATATGCATGAACTAAAAGAAATAAGTCTGGTAACTGGTTAAGTGTTAAAGGGGTCATATGATGCGATTTCATTTTTTCCTTTCTCTTTGGAGTGTTACAAGCTCTTGGTGTATAAAGAAGATCTGTAAAGTTGCAAAGACTAAAGTCTCAAACCACATGTGGTTGCCGCAAGCCCACCGGACGCTCATTCGTCGAATCCGCCGGCCGCGCCATTCTCAAGCTCACCGGCCTCTCACTCAGCTCGCCGGCCGTTCCTCACTCTAGGCCGCCGCTGCGTGTGACGCTGTGTTTCGTTGTGAAAGCGAAGCTACTTTGTTTGGCCTTCCAAAAGAGGACACGCGTAAAAAGACAGTATAATTCATTATAATACGTAATTATGTCCTCACTGGATGCAACAAATGCCTAGTTTGTAATGGGTTTTAATGTTTTTGTCTCGTCGCTCCGGCTGGACACGGCATCACAGTATGGTAGGGGCGTAACATTTCCGTCACACGCTTGAGGTATTCGGCCAATCACATCGCACTGGATAGCTGGCCAATCAGAGCACACCTCGCTTTTCAGACCGATGAGCTTTGTAAAAATCGACACGTTTCAGAAAGGCGGGGCATAGAGGAGAAACAATAATGTACATTATGTGGAACATAATGTTTTTTTAAACTTAAACCACATAAACACATTTCATTACACCAAATACACAAAATAATGTTCTTTTTAGCAGCATCATATGACCCCTTTAATGAAGACTTTTAGTCTTTCTGAGGGGGCGTGTAAAACTGAAAAGATAGGGAAACACTGGCATTGAATTGAGGATGCTGCCCTCTTGTGGTAGTGTGATGTCATTGTTTTGTGGGTTCCCACCTCTCAGTCTCATGCATTGCATTACAGCATGGTAACATGCTAACAGTAGTGATAGCCATTTAAAGAGCCTCACAGAGATGATGTGTCCCTTCAGTCCATGGGCCGAGTCAGCACACTCGATAACAGCGCAGAACCTGAAGTTCACATTGTTTTCAAATCAACGTGCTCCAGATTAAGTAATATGTAATTTCATTTAAAAGATTGTCTACTATGAATATGTATTACAGTGTTGGGAAATCTAATGTGATACCTGGCCCAATGCCCACTTTAATGATATCAGCTCCAGACAGAATGAGTTCCTCCACCATCTCCCCTGTCACCACATTTCCCGCCTAAATGATCAAGATGTGTTATATGATATTTTTACTTAAAAAAACTAAAAAATATATATATTTTTGTCTTATTGATATGACATTTGTTATATTATGTTTGGGCAAAAATCTCACCATGATGGTGTGCTTTGGAAACCTTTCCCGAACTCTTTTTACAAACTCCACAAAGTGTTCAGAGTAGCCATTAGCGACATCCAGGCAGATGTACTGGATGAGAGGAATGGCCTCCAGGATGCTGCACAGTTTCTCCAGATCCGCTGCTCCACTGCCCGAGCTGACCGCCACATGCTGAGGAGGAGAGGAAAGGAAAGATGGCTTCTGTCATTCACCACATGAAAATTATGAATTAGCTGTCTAGAAAGCTTTTGTATGCTTTATATAACTCAGGTTGCATTGCCTAATTTGCTGTCATTCTGTTCTGATAAAAAATTGGTATGTAGGGGAGACCGGGGGCAATTTTAACACACTCAATTCCTCCAATAAGAAACAAGCTAGAGTGATGACACTTAATCTGCACATGCTCAGTAGGATTCTCTCTTTGCCTGTCAAAAAGGAGCACCACAATCATTTCATCTCAGCAGAAGTTTTTAACAAAATGATTTTGAAGTATGAAATTTACTTTTTGGATGTATAGTATTCTGCTGTCTAAAGTTTAGATGACTGCAAATTTAAACTTATATACATTTTATCTGTAGGTTATTGAAAAATATCATGAACAACCTATGCTAATATAGGCATGGCTAGCTAGCATACAAGATTTTATCACGGCTGCAATATCAGGGGCAATTGTAACTTTGCGTTACAATTGCCACCGAGCCACATGGCCCAGTGTAAGCAACTAGTTTGTCTGTGTCTGTTAGAAAATGAACATTTAAATGTAAAACTATATTTAAAAATTATTAGTATTAAACATTAAACAATATGTTGCTTTTAAAACATAAAAAAAATGGATTAAAGACTGTTATTGACTCATGAGCTGATTAATGTATTTGAATAAAATATATTTAAAATATTTATATATATATATATATATTAAAATATATTTAAATAATTAAAATCTAGTTACACTAGAATAGTTGCCTAGTCTTCTGCAAAAATAGAAATAGACTTTTACTTTTTAAATGCATATGATGCCTGACATCTAAAAGAATTTCAACCATACACAAAAAAAAAAAAAAAATCTTAACATTATTAGATACTATAGCAGTAAAGTGATTACTTTGAGGTTGGCTTTTATTTGAGATACAGTCTGTTAATATGGCTGAGTTTTCAGAGTTACAATTGCCTACAAACACTGTTACAATCGCCCCACATATAATCAATCAATTGCTATCAAATGCGTGTTAGTCTGTTGAAAGGCTATTACAGACATCATTTATTCGGTGTGACAGTTGCTCAGGTGTTGCTTTGGCTGGTTGCTATGGTGTTTTGGATAATAGCTGGGTGGGATGCTAGGCCTTGCTGGGATGTTTTATCTGATATAAAACCAGGCTAAAGTAGGGCTGTCGCGGTGAAGGAATTTCCCTTGCGGTAATTTTGAGTAGCTCAATAGCGTGGTATGCGGTATTATCGGCATATATATATATACATATATATATATAATCTGTGTGTGTATGTGTTACGATATAACGAGGTCATATTCAGAAGCCAGTGAAACCGAAACCAACTCGTTCTAGACGTTCTAGCTCGTTTCACAAATATATATGACTCGCAAGTAATCGCACGTGCTCAGTTGATCTCTCTCTCATTCGTTGTCTGTTTAGGCTTGTTAAGTGCAAATCTACGGAGCCTCAGTACAAATCAGCATGGTACACATTAATATTCAGTACACATGCACGAAGTGTAAAACGAGAAGGGCATAACCCTATGAAAAAAGAAAACACGCAAAAATTGCGGTTGTTGCATTCCTCTGAGGTTTGCTCGTCAATCGCACGGTATTGCTATATTACGTTATCGCGACAACCCTACATGTGGTGATGTAGGGGCTGTTTTTTTTTTTTTTTTTTTTTTTTTTTTTTAAGGCTTTCTTCAATAATATTAATAATACTAATATGAATTATATAAATATACTAACATGCTAATTAATTAAAATAAACCATCATTAAAAAGGTTATTTATAACACCATTAAGGTTCTATATAGAACTTTCAAAGCATGGTTCTTTATGGAACCCTATAAAAAGGGTTCTATTTAGCACCAAAAAGTGTTTTGCTATTGTTACAAGCTGAAGAACCCTTTTTTTTTGGTACTGTCTAGAACCATTTTTCGTAAGAGTGTAATATGGCATTGGTAGTAGGCAGTTGCTAGAGTGTTTAATGTGGTTTGATGTTGCTATATGGTTTCTAGATGGACTGTACTGCTTAATTAAACAGCTTTTGGTTAAGAAAGGCAAGAAAGTCATTTTTGCCCTTTCACCTCAAGGCACTCTGGATGACTGGCTGCAAAAGTCTTCCACTCCTCCAGGGAGTAGTGCTTCTGGATGGCTGTGAAGAGAGTGTGCTGAAAGACAGATCAGAGAGACGTCTGAGAGGGCAGTGAGTGTCTGGCACTGAGACAGACAGAAATATAAGAGCCTCTTGATCCCAGTGCATGGAAACAGGACACAGCTAATTATGTTTCAGTGAGATCTTGATAATCACAGAGATAAAACATAGTAAAACAAGACTTTCCCTGGGTTATATTGCAAAGATACAGGTACTGTGTTTAATCAGTTACTGTGCTTTGTTTAAAGAAGCACTCACCTTGCTGAGCACCTGTGCCATCTCAAAAGTGCCGGTGGTGTCCATGTTAGCAGCGATGATCGGGATGCCATTGTAAGTCTGCTTTGAGTTCCGGAATGTGAAGGTCCTCTGCAGGTCAACCTTCAAGAACGAAACATGTAGAGGAAATAACTTTCCAAACATACAAACAGTACATGTGACAGTGTGAAAAGCCTAATTTTATTGGATAGGCCCATAATCAACCCAAACATCCTGTCCTATTCTCCTGTCCCTGTAACCCATTCAAACATGCACTCAAATATATTGCCACTAAAATTAAAATATATTTAGACCCATCTAATTGACCCATATCCACTGTAACAACTGAAAGGAGGTCATTCTCCATGTCTCGCAGATGTTAAATACAATTTTCCTAGGCAATAACAAATATTTTTATGTTTAAGCATCTGATATAACAATATGCGGAAACAATTTGTAGAAGAATTTCAATTTAATGCTTTAGAAACAATAGTGATATGCTATTATACACACACACACACATATATATATAAATATAATTTATTTATTTACTTTTTTTTTTTTCCTGAATCATCCAAAAATGTGTTTTTTCAATAGCTTGAGTGACTTGACAATTGTCTGTATACCACTCAGAATTACCTTAGTGCAGAAATGCGGACGTGCAGATAAATATTAAGATTCAGATAAGGGATCCTATTATGCCCATTTGACAAGATTTAGCTCTAAGGTGTCCTCAGCATGTGTCTGTGAACATTCAGCTCAAAATACACCACAGAACATTTATTATTCCATGCTGTAAAAACACCTTTTTGAGTGGAAGCAAAAACTTGCTTTTTTGTATGTTTCTTTAAAGGCAAATGAGCCGTTCCCCACCCCTTTTTTCAGAAGAGGGCTGTGCCATAGATATGTATAGGTAGATTCAACATTCGACCGCTCCAGACATGTCAATGTGTCCTCCATCTTGGAACGGACTATGTGTTGTCATTCACAGTTAAAATCAACGAGTTTTCCAAGATGCCACAGCATTGCGCAGCATCTGGTTGTAAAATCTGCTGAAATTTAAATTCACAAAGAAATGGGATATACCTTCACATGTAAGAATGTGTTAGTTTGTGTTTCTAATATGTATTAACTCAATATTACATGTTTTTAAACTACGGTAACTTTTTAATGCCATGTTAGCTAATGGGTTTGTCTTATTGTGTTAGTTCAGCAAAATCATCTGCTGAAGTATATTGCACATATAGACATTCATACATGAGTACAACTACAGTTGTAATGCAGATGATCAGTCAACTTGCTCTCCAGTGTTCACGGATTGGCTTTGACCATTCCAATATGGCGTATATCAGCCCATAGAAACAGACGCTAATAAGGCATCTACCTATAAATATCTATGGGTTGTGCCTTTACACTGCCTCGGTTACTAAGGCAACAACAAACAATACATCTGTTTTTTATCATCTCTATCACACTCATGTGACGTTGGAGTTCTTTGTCATCATGAAAAGTTTATTCTTTGCATGTGTTTAAGAAGCTTTGTCAGTTTAAACATTTAAATAACAGTTCTTTCTGGTCCTCGAATCTAATTGGCTGAGAGCCTTTTCTAGGCGTACAAAATTCTAGTGATAACAGAACTCCTACCGTTTCACCGTTTGTATCCCTCTGCTTGCAGTATTTCAACTGTTTCACAGCGAGTGTCATGGTGGACGCCCAAATCCACTATAATTTTATAAATTTAATACTGTTTTTGTGTCATGGAATGTAGTTTTATGGCTGTTTCACACTGCAAGCTTGAGCTTTGCATCAGCTTCGCGTCAGCTTCACGTCAGCATAACTTCGTCACTGCTGCAGACTTGCGAGAGTATTCACACTGGACGTGTTTGTACAGTGTCACAGTAGCGGCTCCAAAGCTACATATTTCTTTACAAAAACAACTATAAATTTGTTTTTAGAAGTTGGTCATTTATAAACATGAAAGTTTTAAAGTCTTAAAAGTTTAACACGGGTATACGCATGTAAAATGTAAACAAAAAAACAGCTCAGATTATGTTGTTTCAGTCATACTTTGATATAGAACGTGCTGTTTATAATGTTTTTTTTGATACACCATAATTTCACTCAAACTGAATAAGTTTAAATGGGTAAATCTTCTATACATATTGTTGATTCTTCATTTTCTTTTCTGACATGCTCCAATTCTTGTTATAACACACTAGGCATGTTTATTCTGTGACTCTGCACCGAAACCATCGCTTCAGCGCTGCTCACGTGACATTCCTGCTTGATGCTCACGTGCTGCTTCTGTTCCCAGTGTGAATGCACTCATTTGTTAACATGCATGCCAAAAAAAATATGTGCTGCTTACATGCCACTCACGCTTGTGGCGTGAAACCGGCCTTAGGAGCTTTTTAGGCGAGCTTTTTCGCTGGCGAAACGTGCATTCAAGATAAGTATAGTGAAGCAGATCCACGCGCATATCCAGCCCAAGGACTACTTCATAGCTGTTGATCTGAAAAATGCTTATTTTCAAATTCAGATAGCCCCTCATCTCAGGTGCTCCCTGCGATTTGCATTTGAAGGTGTTGCATACCAATTCAAAGTGTTACCGTTGGGGCTGGCTCTGGCCCCCCGCTCATTCACGATGATCATGAATGCAGCACTTCCCCCTGAGACTCAGCCGCATGCACGTGCTGAACTACCTCGCGCACGATACTTGCGTGCTTATCAGCACAGAGAGTTCAGTCCATTCACTATATGCTCTCAATGCCATTCAGAGCCCAGGTTATTACAATACAGGCATTCTGCCCCTCCAAACCAGCCTCTGATTCAGTGTCACAGAGGCGCGCCATGTGCCCCGTGCATGTGCTGCGTGCTGCATGCTTATGTAGACAGAACTAGCCAGTTTCGAACTTCGGAGCAGTTTTTCGTCTGCTTCACGGGCGTTAAGAAAATCGGCCCGCTGTCGAAGCAGAGGCTGTCACACTGAATTGGAGAAGCTGTTCGCCTAACTTATGTTTCCCGAGGACTCGACCGCCCAATGGAATTGCGTGCCCAAGTCTGGCTTCTTCATGGGCCTGGGTTAAGGCATGTCAATTCAGGACATCTATCTCGCAGTGGGCTGATCATCTCAGAACACTTTCACGAGGTTTTGCCCGCTCATACAGTTTGGCGGAATATGTGAGCACCAACATGTTTGGGACTTTGCTTGCTACTGCATGCGTCTAGTCTACTGTATCGGCTCTGTTCAAGCTGGGCCCAGCTTGGTTTTCATACGGTGGGGTTTTATACGTTCCCCATATGTAATTTCGAGAGACCAACTCGATATGTCTGCGGTTACTCAACGTAACCGTGGTTCTCCGAGAGGAGGAAACGAGAAATTGCGTAAGCTGCTGTGTGGAAAACTTCCTCAGAGCCTCAACGACTCTTGCTCAGTCAAAGATTCTGAGGTAAATTGGTGGCCGATATGGCAGCTGAGCCTGCCAATCAGGTGAATGCTTGAACGCCGTTGACTATTGCCAAAGACTATAGAATACCCAAGACGTGTCACTCGTATAGTTTTGAAAGGGGAAAAATGCAACGCTCAATATGGCCACTCTATTGAACTAAGCCCCGCCTTCTGAGAAAAAGAGCCAATCGCTAATCTGTAAAGTCATCTTGTCACTGCCCGGTTGCTATAGAAACAGTCTGCATTCTGGAGAGATGCTCTTAGGACTGCGCATGCGCATTGGCTGGTCTAGCCTGAAAAATACGCTTTTATTTCTAACGCTATTGGAGCATAAAAAACAACATTTATGAGACAGTTGTTGTCAGATTTCATTGGTGATTTTAAATCTGAAATTTAATCGTAAACTTGGCGAAAAGTTTTGGAGAATTTGATGTTTCCCCATTCAAAGAGATAAGAGTTGCACTTGCATGCCCGAGAGGCGTTTCAAAGATGGCCGCCGAGTGAAATTACTTGTCTTAAAGGGACTTTGCTATTGCCGAGCAATAGAGTGATTCAATCAGGCTTCAGCATCTCGGAGGAAAAGGGTTTCCCCATACGTGATGTCTCGTTCCGTCCTTTCAGGGAACCACGGTTATGTTGAGTAAACGGAGACGTTTTACCCCTTTCATTCTGTTTTTCCTGTGTGTGCATAATTGACTATGTCATCTTTAAAGGGGTCATATGACGTTGCTAAAAAGGAACATTATTTTGTGTATTTGGTGTAATGAAATGTGTTTATGCGGTTTAAGGTTAAAAAAGATATTATCATGCTAATTTATGTAATTATTTACTTAGTTTCATTGCGAGAAAGTGAACCAACTCCAGCATAAGACTAAAAGCAGCCTAATGTTTTTAATATGACTGAATTTGTATTTAACATGATAACAAATTAATAGAAATATTGTAAGTTACTAATTATAAGCTTACATTTCCTCAGTTACTCAAAAAGCAGCTACAGAAAACAAGCAAAGAACATTACCAAAGAACATCATCACAAGCTCAGTCTTTATGCACTTTAAAAACACTCCCGTTAAAATCAGTGAATATACACTGTATGATGAATAAATCTCTTATACTTACATCGCACGTACATCTGCGCTTTGTTGTTTATGAGGAGAGAATTCGTGAGTCAGAATTCAGTCAGCGCATGCTAAACAACGGAGCACCGCTGTTTCAGTGATGACTCATCTGAACGCATCTGATTGGCCATTGCATTCATAAGCTCAGCATAATCGTGTGTGATTGGTTAGAACG